CAGAAGTGCAATAGTAAGGTTCTTGCTTGACCTTACACTTGAGAGACCTCCTTCAAAAATCAAGAGGCTTAGAGAGCTAATGCACAGGTATCAAAAGGCTAAACCATGACTATCAAAACACTGCTGTTCAGTGTAATTAGGAGCCGAAACACCCATTAGTGATCAGAAAAATGGACAAATTAGTTTGTACCTACAGAGGCTAAAAATGTTACCATTTAAATACGACCATCTAATGTTTTGCTTCCCCTCCCAATCCTCGCTCCTAGGGCTGACATTCTCACTCTCTTCTCTCCCAATGGCAAACCATGGGATTGCCCATTTATTTATAGATGTCCAGTGCTGTCCTCTCTCAGCAAAACCCCTCTGATCCCCATTTAGTCAAGGACTCAGCATGCAAGTCCAAGGATTTCATTTAGCCCAACATCAATTCAGAGAAAGGCAACAGCAACTGGCTTCCAGTTCAGCCTTGATCTGGGTCATGCCTCCCAGATTTCTTTCTTTTCCTCTCACAGAGAATGTCGTTCCCTCTTCCTACATCCTCTTGCTCGTGTTTAAATGTTTGTTGCCTTCATCCAGGAAGCAACAGTTAGTGAAGAAAAGCAGAATTTGTAGAGCTAAGATGTTTTGTGCAGCTCAATCCAGAGTGCATTAACTGCTCCTTCTCTTAGATGGAACACCACAAATTTTCAAGTGCCACATACACAATGTGGAGCATTACAGGTTCACATGATAATTGTGCTCCTTCGCTCATTAAAATTACTTGATATTCTCCTCCCAGTTGGAATAATGAATACGTCTTATAGCAAGTATTTTGCCTCAGCATGGTCAGTCCCTTCCTTACTGCGTTTGGGCTATGAATTCTTGAGGATGGGGATTTCTGACTGTCAAAACCACACCATTTAAAGCTGTTGAGAAGTAGCAGAAATAGGGAAACAGGAGAAGGAAATCTTTACCTTTTTTTTTAACTTGTGAATTCCATGGCAAGCACAGTTTCAGGATAATTTTTCAACAAAGTATTTAAATTATTCCTAGAAATTATGTCCTCCCAAGTAAGATTAGCCAGGAATACTCCCAGACCAGCCAGTCTCCATCTGTAGTTAGATTTGCAGCATCTCAGTTTCCTAGTGAAAGCAAGCTGAGTTTTTGCACCTAGATTACTGGATGTCTAATTCAGAAGGTCACTGCCATTTTGCATCCAAAATATTCACCTTTCCTCCTGCTCCCCAATTTTAACACTCTCACTGAAATGTGAAAAAAAATCAAAACTGGAACAGTCCATCTTTTCTTTTTTAAATTTGAATAGGATTCTGAAGATGGAGAAGAAATCTGGTAACATCCCTTCTGCAAGAATTTAGAAGATTTTTGTAAAGTTTTTTTTTACAAATCTAAAAATGTGTCGGTAAGGGCGGCACAGAGCAGGTGCAAAGGAGGAACTTTATTTACAAAAAAACTGGCCTTTTTATGCTGTTAGTTGACCATTAGTTTACATACTTTTTAGGCACAGCAAACCCACTTTAACCAAACACCACGGTGCAAACACACAGCATGCCTCGCCTCCTCTATTCTAGCTGAGTCGCTCTCCCAGAGCCCCTCTCTGCTTAGCCTAAATTACATGCCAGAGCCCTGATTTCACCAGGCCTTCCCTTACAGAGCTGTACATATCAGCTACATAAAAAGATCCGATTGTAATGGACAACTCTTAGTTTGTTAATCAAACTTTGACTGCTCGGTTGCTTTTAGGGAGCAGTTTGTAGAGAAACTGCAACCATCCGATATGATAATAAGAAGGAAGAGGGAGGGATTGGGGGCTAAGTTGAGTAATTATACCAACCCCCCCTTCACCTTAATACGAGTGTGCTTAGTTAATTTTATGATATATATATATATGTGTATTTTGAGAGTTTTTAGAATATAGGATTTTAGAGAGTAAAAGCACCAAATCATATAGTTTAAAAGAAACTGACAGACTAACAAATAAAAGACTTGTTTTTCTAACTAACATAAAATAAAAAACTTATAAAGCTAACCATTTGAGTAAAACAGCAGAGAACTGAGGAATTCATTGCCTTGCTGATCACTGAAAAAGTGTTTGAAGAAAAGCAGATGCTTCTTTGATCTGCCATCCAAGACAGCTAACAACCCTTATCTGGGAGAACGGTCATAAAAGTCAAAATTCACAGGTATCCTGCACCTCTCAGCAGAACAGGGAGAAAGGAACTATTGAAAATTAACAAAGAATAACACATACTGAGGAAACACAAAATAACTTCTCTCACAAAATTATCAGTTAAAAACACAACTAATGAGGAAGAGCAGATGTTCTCCAAGGACAAGAACTGACCAAAACGGGCTCTGAACTATAAACGTGCCAAATCCCCACATTCCAGACGAGAGATGAAAAGTACATTGTGAGGAAGACATACGGCCTTCCTCCCAGAGCCCGCCGCCCGCGCCTCGAAGACCCGGCCCATAATTACCAGGAGGATCTGTGCAAGCCCAAAAGACTGATGAGTTAATTAGCATGCATTACCATACGAAGCGGGGGTGGGCGGGGTTAGGTAATGAATATGTATAGGCCTCAATGGAATCTGTATTGTTTTATTGTATCAATAGGAGATCGTTCACTGCTGCGGGTGCCGTGGGTGGAGCTGGGAACTCCCCGGCAGCCCAGCTCTGTTTTGCTTATTGCCCCTTGCTTCATAAATTTTGTAAAATTGGCCTTGTCATCTCTGTTCTTTAAACTGGGAAAACTTATAACACTATGATCTGTTCCTCCTCAGTGCTATAACTGTCCTCTGCCCATTTTCCACTTAGTATGCCATGCAGTCTTTCAGATCTTCAAAGCTGTGTTTGTTCTGCACGTGGCACATGTACGCAGGTCTCAAATTCCTACATGCATTGTCTCAAATCCCCTGCAGCAGAAACCACTCATGCTCCAGTTTTTACTGTTTTGCCCAAACCCACTAAGAGAAAAAAATGCACATTCTCATTTGCTATGATTGCTACAGGTGATTCCTAAATAATATTTTCTGGTATGACCATCCAGTAAAGAAAAGGGGGTGGGGCGGGAGGGGGGGGAACCAAACCGATCCAAAACACAGAAATAGCAATCAAAATCTCTTTCAGTAGCCTTCTCTCATGTTACATGAAGTTAAATGAATACTACTACATGAAGTAACTTTACAGTGGTCACATATCATCACAAAAAGAAAAGCAAACACATTTATGTTTTGTGATTTAGGGGTGTGTGCCTGCCCAAGGATGAGAGGAGAACAGCAGAGTTAACAACTGAACGGTGGAATTCTATGTCTGAGGGAAAGAAGGGCCAAGGGCAGGTCCAGAGGAGCTGCCTGAAAGCAGCGAAGGAGGTGAAGTGCCAGTAGATGGCACTGAAAAACCCCAACCCAGCCCCAGAGACTGCAGGGTCTCTGAAACGGTGCATGGCAAGCAGCTGTCTGCAAGCTGAGGGCAGAAAGCCCAGCAAACAGACAAAAGATTTTGGGGACTGGAAGACTTAGTGGCATTTGAGGTGCTGTGCCACAGCACACAAGGCAGCCGGGCTGCAGCAGACCAAGAGAGCTGCAGGTGGCACCCAGGTAGCTGGCCCAGTCACAGTGATCTGCTCACTGGCACACTGTCACTGACAAGGATAGATACATTTTTCCACTGCAACTTAGACATCTTGCATTCCCTGGCCACTTCCCAGCTCACCCCATAACTAGCCTCAAAACTAAAATGAGGAGTCGGTTGATGTGGTGGCCCACTCTGGCCAAGTGCCTAGACTTGTAACCACTGACAGTAAAGACATGCACCCTTCGATATAAGAAGCTGTCCCACATGTATACACCACTGTGTGCAGGTGCTGTTAATGTTTGCCTAAAATCTGTACTCTCTTTACTGCTTGTGGAGTTCACAGAGCCACTTCAGAAACATGAGAAAACAGACTATTAAAAAATCTTACTTAGTGCCTTCTAAAGCTTGTATACCATTTCTGTAAGCATAAGCCCCACAACAACTAAGCCACTAATCCTTAATAAAACCATTTTACTTAAAAAAAAAAAAAAATCCATATCTCTTCCCTGGCAGAAAATATTAATCTGCTTCCAAGACTGAACCTTTCCTTTTCCAGTGCAGACGCTCTTGGCACTCCCGAGCCGAACCTAGAACCTCTTTACAGCTGGATCAACAAGATATTCAGGCACTATGGAATTTGGGCAGATATTCAAGAAGTGGCATGACCCAGCTGCTGAATCTAAGGCTCTCCCAGGTTTTTGTGCTGAAAAGACAACGATTCAGATTGCTTTATGCTCTAATGTGAACACATTAAAGACTATGAAACAAAAAGATCCTGCTCTGTTGATAAAAACAATATTTTAGCCTTTTTCCTCCTCACGCAGCCACTTCCAGTGCTTCTCCTCACAGAACTACACACGCTGTTGCTCAGCAGCTGCTGCTTGACCCATCCCTCTGGATTCCCCTCCTTGTGAGCAGTAATGTATGGGGCCAGAGCTGATCAGTGGTTGTTTTCTGAAGGGCTCATGTCACAGAGAGCATTTGTTCTCCCTGCCACAGCTCTGAGCAGGTACAGCAACCGCAGGACCGGGGTGGGTTGGAAGTGAAGGAGGAGGAGCGTAAGGAGGCAGAGCTGCAGCTGTTTCGCGTCTGCTCCAAGCTCCCAGGGCAGCCTCATCCTCAGCCCTCCTGGCACCGACTCCTCTGCCACATGAGCTTCTCCAGCACTAGCTGTCAAACCTGCAGTTACTTCTGGGATTAGACAAATTCTTCAACCCCCTTTTTTTGCCAGTTCCTGGAAGAATCTGCACCAGACACAGACAGAGCTTGGAAGAATCATCTGAAGAAAGTTGCTTCCCAAAGGAAAGACACAGAGCACTGGAAAACTCAAGTGTTCAGCCTTTGGCCACCACTAAAAAACACAGACCTGCTCCATAGCAGTCAGGGCTACAGTGACTGCTCCCCTGCCTTCCAAGCAGCCTGCTTCCATGGAGGAGCAGGAAAACAACTTTGTGCTTTCCCTTGGAGACAAAACCAGCAAGTGCAGCCTTGAGACTAACTAAACGGGGACCCCAACATGCTGGTCAGAAGCCACTAGGGGTGGCCCGGAGGTAGTGATTGTACCAGAGCTTTTTGGGTTGATTTTCCTTCTGGGAATGGTAGGAAATGTGTTGGTGTTGGTTGTTTTGGGGCGCCTCCAGCCTGGAGGATGCCCATCACACAGCACTACCAACATCTTCATCCTCAACTTGAGCATTGCAGACTTCTCCTTTCTGCTCTTCTGTGTCCCCTTCCAGGCCACCATCTACTCGCTGCCAGAGTGGATATTTGGTGCCTTCTTTTGCAAATGGGTTCATTACTTGGCCATGGCAACAATGCTGGTCAGCATCTTCACTCTGGTGGCTATGTCTGTGGACAGATACATTGCTGTGGTCCATGCCAAGCGTTCACCCTGCTTCCGCAGCAAGCGCAATGCTGCCCTCGGAGTGGGGGTCATTTGGCTGCTGTTTCTTCTCATTGCCATCCCCGTGGCCCAGCACCAGGCCTTCATGAGTGGTCATCAGCAAGCACCCAACAGCTCCTTCTGCTGGGAGCACTGGGCAGATGATTCGACAGGAAAGCAGATGTACAAGATTACCATCCTGCTGGTGGGATACCTCCTGCCCCTGATGCTCATCACCTGCTGCTATGCCAAGGTGGGTGAGACGGACGCGAGCAATGTTTAAATTGAGGGAAAGGTTACTCCCAGACTCCTGGTGGCTTGGATGTATACACTCAAGCTACCCCACCAAAAAAGAATAGATCAAATCCTTTCCATAGTCTTTCCTGGTATAGAATACTACTCTGAGGCAGAGGGAGGAAAGGAAAACAGAGAATGAAATGACACGAGCTCCCAGGAAGGATTACAACTGCTAAATGGATGCTCAGCCTGACACTCAAGTCCCCTAAAGACTCTTGCTGGGTTTCCTATTTTTCAGTTTGTTCTCTCTTGGCAACAAATGTTTATTCCCGGAAAGAGGGAAAAACAATGCAGCAAGTGTACAGAAACAGTATTAGATGAATACATCACCCCAGTATCTTTGTTTTGTTTTTTTTTTTTTTAAACAAAGCTCAGATGCTATCTTGCAAAGGCTTGCAAAAAGGTATCTTAGGACCAGATATCTTATTCAGCAAGAAATCCCTTCCCTTCTTCTTGTGGATTACTATTACTGAAATATTTTTTTTTCCTTTATTATCGGTCTTAAACATGCTAGAGATCAGTAAGTCTATAAGTTGTGCTAGCATGCAGAATAAGTTTTCTGTCAATTTTGAATGAATACCTGGTTGTGGAGTGCCATGGGACTGACAGGAGCAGAATTACTTGTCAGTAGTCAGTGGCAGGTCTACTCTCTTAGGATAAAAAAAA